CCCCGCAGCCCCCGGCCCCGCAGCCCCCGGCCCTGCCCCGCCACTCTCAGCCACTCACCAGCTTGGAGCTGTTGGAGATGAGCCTGTTCAGGGTGTCGAAGCCCATCTTGATGTTGAAGCGCCTCTTCTGCTCGGCTGAGATGTGCTTCATCTGCCGGTTCTGCAGGCGAGTGACACAGGCGCAGGGACACAGGCTCACTGCCAAGGCCGCTCCCTCACTTCTACCCGATGCTGGGACCTCCACCACCTGACCTGGCACCCCCGGCCAGCTTCAAGCCCCCACGGACCCAGTCCCGCAGGCACTGCCCTCTAAGCCAATGGCCCCATCGGCTCACAGGTCACGAGGATGCGGGGTCAGCTCCTGGACTCAGGGCCACCCAGAGACCTCCGACAGGCCCGTGACCACGGGCTGCGCATGGGAGGGGGCACGGGATGAGCTGGCTTGGCCATGGGGTGAAGGGAGCAGAAGCCCTGTCCCAAGGCTGCCTGCCCGCTGTGCCCGCAGCCCAAGGCTGGGCCTTCCCCTGGACGGCCGCAGCTGCTCCCCTCCCCAGCAAGGGAAGCAAGACCGTGAGTCCCCGATACCTTTAGTGCAGTCACGTTTTTGGGGTCTGCAGATTTCCCTGAGCAGTTGTTCTGGGGAGACTGAGGACTGGGGCTCTGTTCTGACGCGCACGGAGAGGCCTGTCCTGAGTTTGGGCAGTCACGACCTGAGAACAGAGAGAGCCCTCAGGGCCAGAGCCTGAGAAGGGGGCTCGGCACACAAGGAGAAGCCACACTGGTCCCATCCCACCCCAGCAGTGCTCACAGACACAGGAGCCCCCAGGTCCCAGGATACCCACTTTTAATGCCCATAACTGGCCCAGAGCAAAAACCATGGGCAGAAATCCTTGCCAACATCCCAAGTGGTATCCCGCTGGGCCCGACGGCAAGTCGGATGGTGCGCTGGGGCCGGGGATGGGACGTGGCAGCGTTCGGTGGAGGCCCCACTGGTGCTCAGCCCCTCAGAAAGCCTCAAGGCAGCCGGGGCTTTCCGTGCGGCTCTGAGGTGCTGGCTCTTGCCCTAGTGCTGAGCACACTGATGCGCTTCGTTTTCGTTTCTTAAACCGAACACACACGCTTTCTTATGCTCGTACCTTACCCTTGCCCCAGTTTTTTATGTAAAGAAAAAAAACTGGCCCATGTGGAACTTGATGGGAAGCCCCACGACTCCGTGGGCCCCACTCTAATCATGCTGCCTGGACTCAGCCAGCCCGCACTGCCACTGAGGCCGCAAGCCCGGCACGTCTCACTGGATTATCTCCCGGCCGATCCTGCGCTCTGGGTGCCCCAACTCCACTTTCAGAGTCCGCAGACAGGAAGGTAAGCTCAGGGGCTGACCTGGACTTCTGGTCTTTCCCCTCCCAGATGGAGGAGCCCCGCTGTCCACCGACCCCACGGAGGACAGGCCCTGCCTCACTCATATCCTCCCGTGTCCACGGGGTTGAGGGAGCAGCCCTGCCACGCTTTAAGAGGGAGGACATGGGCCAGCTGGTGACATGGTGACTAAGGTGGCTGGATCCCACATGCAACTGCAGTTTGAGCCCCAGGTCTGGCGGTTTGAGAAACACACTGGGTGCAGGTGCATGCATGTCCAAAAATCCCAGAAAGAGGGACATGGAGAAAGGGTCAGTGTGGCCATCCCCCTGGGGGGTGCTTTCTCACTTTCCCTCTTTTTCACTCTGTCTCTCTCCAGGTGCGCATGTACCCTCTGGAAAATTAGGGGAAAAAAGGGGGGGGAAGACACGTGGTCTCCTTTCCTGGTGTGACACCTGGAAGGTAGGGCCTGGGTCCCTTTTCCACCTCTTGCCAGCGGCACGTCCTCGGGGAGACGGCGTGGACCTGCGGGCTCTTCAGCTGTCACTGGGAACAAGCAGCAATGCCCCACCACCCAGTATAAGGTCTGGACGCGGGAAACCGACCACAGACTGGAACCCCACACTGACGGCCATGCTGACATGCACCAGGCCAGGCGGCTTCCGTGGCTACGGCAATCCCAGGCTAACGCTTCCTAGAAAGGGCCGACATGGGGGGGGTCCCCTGCTCCGGAGGAGAGCTGGCAGCTCCATGCCAGGCTGTTCTAAGTCCCAACACCCTGCTGCCACACTGCAGCACACCTGCCACTCCTGCTGCCTAGAGGACAGAGCCGCCACGGAGCACTGCAGCCTGTCGGGCACGCTTCCGGCCCACGCCACCCACGGGCCTCTGAGACCAGGCTGCAGGCTGTAAGCCTGGGCTCGGTCCAGGGCAGCCATTCACGGCCCTCACGTAGTCCCGACTGGTCCGACCCACGAGACACTCACTGGGCCCTGCGGTGGGCACCTGGGGGCTGCACCCGTGCAGCGGGGCCTGCTCGCCCTTCACCAGGGAGTCCTGCACCGTGCTAGGAGAGAAGAGCCGGGGGCCGGGGGCGGGCTGGCTGTTGGTGCTGTGGCTGAGCTCTGTCACCAGGATGCCGCTGTGGAACTCCGTGACTCCAGGAGCCTGTGGCAACATGGGGAGAGGTCACCCCCAATGCACCCCAAAGCAGGCTGCCTGGGGTGACAAAGACCAGGTCTGCCTGGGGCGCTGCTCACCCTGGTGATGGTGGCAGGCGCGAGGACCACGCTGGGCTGGGACACAGTGGAGGCCAACAACCCTTCTCTCTTCAGGGGGCCGGACGTCATAATCACTGCTTGTGGCTGGCCTGGAAAGGCAGCTGCCGGGACAAGGAGGCAGTGAGGCGGTGCCCAGGGCCTCAGCAATGCTGCGCCTGCAGAGGTGTGGCTGGCGCCACCACCCCCGCCCACGGGG